CCGCCTAGGGCGCAACTTAGCAGGGGGCGCCGGCCCTGCTGCTACTGCCTCCGGCTCCAACTCAAGTAAGACCTCAGGCTCAGACGGGCGCCGGTGGATGGCGGCGCCGCCGCCGGCAATTGATGCGCCGGCAAATCATGGGCGGGCGGGTGCGAGGGAGGGAGGGAGCGAGGGCGGGCAGATCCAAGGGAGGGAGGGAGCGAGGGCGGGCAGATCCAAGGGAGGGAGGGAGCGAGGGCGGGCAGATGCAAGGGAGGGAGGGAGCGAGGGCGGGCAGATGCAAGGGAGGGAGGGAGCGAGGGCGGGCGGCCGGTGCGGCACTCCTCCTCATGCTGTGCCGCCTGAGTGCTACAGAAAGCCTCAGACGGCACAGCAGCACAGTCCTGGAGGGCGGCCGGCCGCAGAGAGACGCGACCGCCCATGTGAGACCGCCCACCCTACGAGACCACTCATCATGCAACAGTGAAGGTGGGTGGTCTCTCGGGGTCAGGACAGGTCACACAGCAAAGCCTCTACCGACCTCCATGATCCTCCATTGAGCACGCTTGAGGGGGGATTTTAAAGTGGTAAGGTGCCCACTTGAAGTCCTCCTGTAGTTGGTTCCTGCTTCCCCAGCCTCCAGAGCCTGTATTTGACCAGGAGCCAGACTGCAGCCAGAGATCATCCTTATCTGTGGTAAGTAGAAAATCCAATATTTTTATTCTTTTGTAATATTTATTACATAACTGATTTTACTTCACATTAAAAGGACACTATAGTTCCAGAACCACTACAGTTTAATGTAGTGGTTCTGGTGTCTATAGCCTGTCGCTGCAGGCTTTTAACCCCTTAAGGACACATGACATGTGTGACATGTCATGATTCCCTTTTATTCCTGAAGTTTGGTCCTTAAGGGGTTAAAAGGTAAACACTGTCTATCTTTTCAGAGTAAAGATACTGTTTGCAGTACTGGTGTTAAAGGATCACTATAGTGTCAGGAAAACAAAGTGGTTTTCCTGACACTATAGTGCCCTGAGGGTGCCCCCACCCTCAGGGTCCCCCTCCGTGGCGCTGAAAGGGGTTAAAACCCCTTCAGCAGCTTACCTTATTCCAGCGCCTCCCCTCCCCCTCAAGTGCCGCACGCGCATTCAAATTGTCCATAGGAATGCTTTCCTATGGACGCTCTGCGCGATGGAGGCATTAAATGCCTACAGCGTTGCAGATGCACCTCTATTAAGTCTGTCCGGAAGATTTAACCGCAAATGTAATCATTGAGATGAAGTAGACAGGGTGACTATAGTGTCCCTTTAAGCGTCTCCACGCCCTGCGTGGAGGAGCTTAAAGGGACACTCCAGGCACCCAGACCACTTGTGCCAACTCCCACTACCCTTGACCCTGCAAGTGTAATTGCAGTTTTCATAAACTGCAATAGTTACCTTGCAGGGTTAAGTCCTCCTCTAGTGTTAGACAGCCGCTAGAGGGACTTCCATGTTCTTATAACACGAAAAGTGTGTTTTACGACTCTGTGAGGTCTAATGCGCGTGCGTGGCCATTGCCGTTCATGCGCATTAGGTCTCCCCCACTGGCTGACGTTGGCGAGGGAGGAGAGTAGGCAGAGTCTGCCCCTCGGCGCTGGACTCTGGTCAGCAACTTGGGGTGGGAGGGAGAGGGTTACTACAGGGTCCTGCAGTGCCAGGAACACTAATATGTTTTCCTGGCACTGGAGAGTCCCTTTAATGTTCCCATATAGATGCATTGATTCATTGCATCTGTATGAGGAGATGCTTTTTGGTGCAGTGTTTCGCTGCACAGGCACAATAGCCTCCCAATGCAAAGGTTAATGATCTGTGTGGGGGAAAAACGTAATATCACTTTATGACCACACACAGAGGTTGGGGGGGAGGGGAGGGAGTTGCTCTAATGTAACAGGATACAGGTGTATAGTGTTCCTGACGATATAGTGTTCCTTTAAGCTGCTCTCCACCTCCACTACATCAAGCGTGCCCACTCTTGCGTAATGCAGAGATCTTCTGGCTTTTGGCTGATGTAGTGAAGGTAGGGCCATGAAGGTAAGAAGTCAAACTGCTCTAATACGGTTTGACTACTTACATGGGGGGCGATGTCATGTCAGACCACTATGCTATGTAGTGGTAATGGTTCATAAAAAATGTCTCTTTAATGAAATGTACAATTTGAACTATGTTTTATTAGGTTCATTTCTAAAAGTGTGAATTTTTGGGAATCAAAGTGAATGTCACAGTAGCCAAATGGTGGGGAGGGGGAATGGGGATATTGGGGAACTGTAACATAGTGATGGATATCGCCATATGGTGTAACTGAATCCCAATTTTTTTTTTTGCTGGTAGTGGTGATTTTAAGTAGCTTCATAAAATTTAAAACTGGATTTATTTTGTGCACTGTTCCCTAATCTGTATTTTGAGGATGAAACATGGTCATTTCAGTAGCGTGCCAACAAGGGGCGATAGCAATAGTTCAGAGGGGGTACACACAGTAACTACCCATTTCATTTTGTTGCATGGACCCAGATAGCAGATTGAATTACTTTGTAATGTGACTGACCATGTATGACTGTAGGTGAATGTTTGTGACTGTGTGTAATTATGTTGTGACGCTGTATGATTGTGTGTCTGTGCATGGGGGGTGCTAGCTCTCACTTGCCCTCTCCATTTTTAATTCTTCATGTTTACATCAACTGCTCTCATACATACACATATTTTTGCGTCTTTCACACTCCCACACGTGCGCACATATGTACAGTAGGTTTCTAAATGATTTTCAGGTATTATTGTGGTTTAATGATCATCAAAGAGAATATTAATTGAATTTTAATAATTTTTGATGTACATTTATTCTACAATAGTTTTTTTGATAATTGAACAAGATGTCTGCACCACGAAAGAAATTGTCTGGTGCCGCTTTTCGAAAGAAAAGAAGGCTCCAAGAAGAAGACACTTCTAAGATGGCTGGATCATTAAATAGGTTCTTTAAACCTGATCCAGTACTTAAAGCTGTAAGCGAGACTAAAGAGAATCGTGAAGCTGTAGATGTCGAACCGCACCCTTCTACTTCAACTACTACTGTGGGCGAACATTCTTTGGGCATAGAAAGTGATACAAACACCGAGGAAGAGAGTTCACCGAAATCATCATCATCATCATCAGAAGATGAAAATGCAAAAAGCACGCTGGCAGACCTCTTTGATCCAGCTGACTGGCCTGAAATGCTTACTAGCTCACTAAAAGAAACCATCGTTCTGAAAGGTCCGGCAAAGCCAAAAGAGCACTTTGCATTTCCTAAAGATGCATCCAAGAGACGGTTCACATCAACCCACTATAGACGGCGCCTTGGAAATGGTGAAGTGCATGTTAGAAAGTGGCTTAGTTATTCTCCTAGACTGGACAAAATATTTTGCTTTTGTTGTAAACTCTTTACAACTACAAAAATGAGCCTGACTACAGGAGGCTACAATGATTGGAAAAATTTGTCCCAATGTCTGGCTACACATGAAGTGTCTCCATCTCACCTCACTGCTATGGGAAACTGGACAGAACTGTTAACAAGGCTTGGGTCTGGAAGTACTATTGACCATTCATACCAAAGATTATTGGCAACTGAAACGCAGCACTGGCAGAATGTTCTTCAGCGGCTTGTAGCCATTGTTCAATATCTTGGGAAGCAGTGCTTGGCCTTCAGGGGCAGCAGTGACACGCTGTACTCTGAAAATAATGGAAATTACTTGAAACTTGTCGAAATGATGGCAACATTTGATAGTGTGATGCAAAGCCACTTGAAAAAGATACAGAATTCAGAAATTCATCAACATTATTTAGGAAAAGACATCCAAAATGAACTAATTGGTTTAATTTCAAAAGAAATACGGAGACGCATTCTACGGTTGCTTAAGGATGCCAAGTACTATTCCATTATACTTGACTGCACCCCTGACATCACTCTTGTTGAACAGATGACTATGGTTTTCAGGTTTGTATCTGTTAAGCAAGGAGACTCGCCAACTGCAAATCCTGAAATACACATTGAGGAAAGATTTCTTGGTTTCCTGCCAGTTCACAACTCATCTGGAGAAGGATTAACAGAGGCAATTTTGAATGAGCTTGAAATGCTGAAGATACCACTCAGTGATATGAGAGGTCAAGGGTATGATAATGGCTCCAACATGAAGGGAAAGCACTCAGGAGTGCAAAAAAGAATCATGGACCTGAACTCACGTGCTTTCTATGTCCCCTGCAGTGCTCATTCATTAAATCTTGTAGTAAATGATGCTGCTATGTGCTGTAGGGATGCCAGTACATTTTTTGGCATTCTTCAGAAAATATATGTTTTTTTATCAGGTTCAACAAATCGATGGGATGTTCTAAAAAAGCATGTGAGTAAGCTGACAGTTAAGCCGTTATCCGATACTAGATGGTCAAGCAGAATTGATGCTATTCGGCCATTTAGGTTCCATGTTGGAGAAGTGTATGACACCTTAATTGAAATCGGAGGTGATATGAATTTTGCTGCTCTTGCAAGAATTGAGGCTTCATCCTTGGCAAAAGAGTTAAACAAGTTTAAATTCTTGTGTTTAATCATCCTTTGGTTTAACATACTAAGTCGAATTAATTCTGTCAGCAAAGTTCTTCAAAGCCAGTCCATTTACTTACCAGATGTTGTGGAACTTTTGGAATCAATCAAGACAATTTTTCAATCTTATCGGACAGATGATGGTTTTGAGGATTTACTTAAAGAAGCAGGAGAGCTAGCAGTGGAAATGGAAATAGACCCAGTGTTCCCCCCTCAAGTACATCAGACGAGGAAAAAAAAGGTTGTTTTTGTATGAGGTTCCAGATGACCCTATCTTAGAACCTAAAAATAAATTTAAAGTGGAATGTTTCTTCACAATATTAGACACAACAATAAAATCTGTACATGAAAGATATGAACAGCTTAAATTTCATTCCACGCATTTTCAATTTTTGTATGACATCCACAAGCTAAAAGATATGCAAAAAGAAGAACTCCTGCAGTTCTGCATGGAATTGCAGAATGTCTTAACCGATGTAAAATCAAAGGAGTCTGATGTAGATGGAAGGCAACTGTGTGAAGAACTTGCTGTATTGGCTCCTGTTATAAAACCTACGATGACACCTGTTGATATTTTGGCCTATGCAGTGAGGAATGGATTTGCTCCAAATGTGGCAATTGCACTTCGAATTATGTTGACCTTACCAATCACTGTTGCCACAGGTGAGCGAAGCTTTTCGAAACTGAAAATTATAAAAAATTATCTTCGTTCTTCAATGTCCCAAGAACGGCTTGTGGGACTTGCCATGATAGCAATAGAAAATCGGACGGCACAGGAGATTGACTTTGAAACATTACTGAAGGACTTTGCGAATGCCAAAGCAAGAAAAGTTAAATTTAATTAGATAGAATAACTGTTAGAAAGTATTTAAGCTGTTTACAAAGTTGTTTAGCACTTAAATTGTATGCTGCATTTATGTATTTATTTTGCTATGTATTTGGGGTTCTTTGACCATACCATTTGTATTGTTGCACTTATATTATGCAAGTATGCCACTATAATCTAAATGTGGCCATGTGTTTTTCTCTTAACAACTGTATGTTGTATTGCACTTTCAGAATGTTAATGTATTAAACTATTTAAATTTGCACTTTATTTTACATTGTTGCCTTTTGTGCAATTTGTCAGTGTCTTGAACCAAAAGGTAGGTGGGGGGGGGCGTCAATTTTTATTTTGCCTAGGGCGGCATAAATCCTTGCACCGGCCCTGTTTGAAATATACTGTAACAAACCACCTCTTTTACTGGTAGGATTTTGTAACAGATCTTATGGTAACCACAGCCTTCTAGGGTAATCAAAGTCAAGGACACATTCAGCTCAGTTTTTCTGATTTATTTGGTGCAAAATATACAGGTGCGTCACAATAAAATAAACAAAACAAAATTCCTTACTCTTGTTTGAGCACTTACTAAACAGAGTAATTACTATCTGGAAATGGGTGGCTTTCCCACTTACCAATTGACAATAACAAGCTATGGCTGCAAAACACACCATTCCTCTGGCTCTTTTTTCCTCACTCTGCAGCAGGCTGATCCCTACTTTTAAAAGCTTGCCTGCTAGTTGACCAGCTACAAGTGAGTATCAATTAGTTCACATCTCTGGAACTCCTAAGGCAGTGATGACGAACCTATGGCACGCGTGCCACAGGTGGCACGCCGAGCCCACTCTGTGGGCACGTGGCCATAGGTCGCCGGAGGGAGGGAGGGTGCGCTCCGCCGGCTCATCCATAAGGTGGCACAAGTGGCCGCCTTAGGGTGCACCGGCCCGGCGGGCGCAAGGCCGGAGTGACCGGCAGGAGTTAAGCGCACAGCACTCCCTCCTGCCAGGCACTCTGTGTAGCGTGGCCGAGCGCGCCGCAGTACAGGAACTTATGTTTCCTGTACCCGGGCAGACGGAAATAAAGTGCTCACAGAGAGAGCACTTCCTGTCCGCCAGGTACAGGAAACTGAGCTCCGCAGTGCGCTCGGCCACACTACAAGGTAGGAGACTGAGGGAGAGATGGGGGGCGGGAAACCAAGGGAGGTATGGACAAATAGAGGAGAAATGTGGGAGGGGAAAACTGAGGATGTCGGGAGGGGAACAAAACCGAGGGAGGCATGGGGGGGAAATAAACCGAGGGGAGGTAATGGGGAATGAAAACCGAGGGAGGTGCATGGGGATAAAACCGAGGGAGAAATGGAGGGGAACTGAGGGAGAAACGGGAGGTGGGGAAACCGACAGATGGGGAACCGAGGAGAAATGGAGGTGAAAACTGAGGGAGAAAATGAGGGAAACCGAGGAGAGATGGAGGGGAAAACTGATGGAGAAAACCGGGGAGGGGAAACTGAGGGAGAGATGGGGGGAAACTGAGGGAGAGATGGGGGAAACTGAGGGAGAGATGGAGGGGAAACTGAGGGAGAGATGGGGAGAAACTGAGGGAGAGATGGGGGGAAAGAAAACAGTGGGGGGGAGAGGGGGGACAACATACACATATCACCCCACACAAAGACACACACACATCACCCCACCCACACACATCAACCCACACACACACATCACCCCAATAATCCCCAACCCAGCACACACCAATCACACATCAACCCAGCCACACCACACCCACAATCAACCCACACACACACACACATCAAATCCCACCACCAAACACACACATCACCCCCACACCCCACCCCCCCACACACACACACACACACACCACCACCCCTGCACACACCCCACACACACCACCCCACATCACCTCACACACAAACACATCACCCCACACACAAATACATCACCCCACACACAAACACATACACTGTAGCCCTCAATGCAGTGCGTGTACACTCAGCAGTCTGTGTACACTCAGCAGTCTGTGTGTGTGTGTGTACACTCAGCAGTCTGTGTGTGTGTGTGTACTCAGCAGTCTGTGTGTGTGTGTGTGTGTGTGTGTGTACTCAGCAGTCTGTGTGTGTATTTAGCAGTCTATGTGTGTATTTAGCATTCTGTGTGTGTACTCAGCAGTCTGTGTGTGTATTTAGCAGTCTGTGTGTGTGTGTACTTAGCAGTCTGTGTTTGTGTGTACTCAGCAGTCTGTGTGTGTGTGCGTGAGTACTCAGCAGTCTGTGTGTGTATTTAGCAGTCTACTAAATACAGACAGACTGCTAAATACACACACAGACAGACTGCCGAGCACACACACAAACTGCTTAATACACAGAGATGTTAATTAATTCGGACAACTGTAGGAGTTGTTTTTTCTAAACTTAAACCTCAGTATTCAGGTTTAATTGCCGTTTTGGCACTTTGAGGAAAAGAAAATTGGCATGTATTACAGTTTGGGCACTCGGGCTCAAAAAGGTTCGCCATCACTGTCCTAAGGTATATACACAAGATCTGGTCTGGCTGTTCTATAGCAACTAGTGCTATTGGAGCACTGGTCCACCCTGCTCTCCAAATGCTCTGCCCCAGGGACATGTACCATGGTTTGCAGAGTACCAACAATGTATATTGCAAACCTAACATCTCTCCCTGGGGCATTTAATTGAGAAACCTCAGGCTGCTGTTTAGTAAATCAGGCCTAATATATATTCCCTCAACAACCATTCCACATTTTCTCTCACAATACTTACAGTAACAAGAGCAGACTAACCGCTTAAGGCGTGGGCGGTACAATCCCCACCTATGAATTTATGGTCTTTAGTCCGCAGATAGTGCAGGAGGATAAAAAATAAAAAATAATTTATAAAAATAAATATCAAGGTATATGGCTGCAAACAAGCAATAAGATAGCCAAAAATACTTTATTAGAATCAAAGATAAAACCACACACCGTTTCTCCCCTGAGGGCTTTCTTAAGTGGATAAACATATACCTGACAACATTGAGTTTATATAGGCTACCCACATTTTTTAAACACTGGCACCAAAATTATGTCATCGTCCCGTAATAGCGATCAAGTGACTCTGACTTTAAAAATACAAATTATTATAGTGCAAACAGTCTTATGTGTGAAAGAATATAATCTATAGGTTCAAATTTTAAAAACTAAAGAAAAAGATACATCAAAGAATTGCCATTACCGCTTAAAAGAGAGTATCTTAACTTATTAAAAATATTGGAAAATTTTTTATGGCTTAAAACAGTGATAAAGAACCTATGGCATGCGTGCCACAGGTGGCACGCTGGGCCCTCTCTGTGGGCACGCAGCCATAGGTTCGCCATCAATGCAGAGTAGGCACGTGCCCAAAACAGCAGGCGCCTACTCTGCTTCCGTGTCGGGAGGCAGGGGGAGGGCTCTAGTAAGCAGCTCTCCTGTCCTCCCGCGAGCGATCTGTGTGGAGCGTTGCCGCACGTTACCATGGCAATGCTCCACACAGCATCAGCACCCTTACCCCCAACCAGCACCCCTACCCCACATGTAGCACAGCACCCCTACCTCCCCACGCAGCACAGCACCCCTACCTCCTCACACACACAGCACCCCTACCCTCACCACACACACAGCACCCCTGCCCCCAACACACAGACAGCACCCCTACCCAACACACAGACAGCACCCCTACCCACCACAGCACAGCATCCCTACCCCCACACAGCACAGCACCCTTACCCCTGCCCAGCACCCCTACCCTCCACGCAACACAGTACCTCTACCCCCCCACAAACAGTCCCCCTACCCCCACACACAGTCACACCTACCCCCACACAGTACCCCACACACAGCACCCTACCTCTCACACACAGCACCCTAACCCCCCCCACACACAGCACCCACACCTCCCACACACAGCACCCTACCCGCACACACAGGCCCCACACATAGCACCACTACCCTCTACACACACAGCACCCTACCCCCCACACCCAGCACCCTACACCCCCACACAGCACCCCTACCCCCACGTCAGAGCAACACTCCTACCCCAACACACACACAGCACCCCCTACCCCACAACACCTACCCCCACACACAGCACAGCACCCTTACCTACCCCACATGCAGCACAGCACCCCTACCTCCCCATGCAGCACAGCACCCCTACCTCCTCACACACACAGCACCCCTACCCAACACACAGACAGCACCCCTACCCCCACACAGCACAGCACCCTTACCCACGCCCAGCACCCCTTCCCTCCACGCAACACAGTACCCCTACCCCCCCAAAAACAGTCCCCCTTCCCCCTCACACACACAGTACCCCTACCCCCACACACACAGCGCCTCTACCCCCCCACACACTGGCAGCCCTAGCCCCACACACACAGCCTCACCCCCCTTTGGCACAGCACCCTTACTTTGCGCCCAGCACCCCCCCTGCCACCCACATGCAGCACAGCACCCCTACCCCAACACACACAGCACCCCTACCCCCCACAGCACAGCACCCCTACCCCCACACAGCACAGCACCCTTACCCCCGCCCAGCACCCCTACCCCACATGCAGCACAGCACCCCTACCTCCCCACGCAGCACAGCACCCCTACCTCCCCACACACACAGCACCACTACCCCCACCACACACACAATACCCCTACCCAACACACAAACAGCACCCCTACCCCAGCACACGCATCACACCCTGCCCAGCACACCCTACCCTCCACAACACAGCACCCCTACCCCCCGGCATAGCATCCCCTTACCCCGCCCAGCACCCCTACCCCTCCATGGCACATCTTCCACCTCCCCAGCTTTACAGCACAGCACCCTGCCTCCCCACACACACAGCACCCCTACACCCCCCACACACTGGACCCCTACCCCCACACAGCCTACCCCCACACACAGCCCCTACCCCTCCACACACACACAGTACCCCCCCCTCCCACAAACAGTACCCCACACAGCACCCCTCACACAAA